TATATATATATATATATATATATTTAGGGATGTTGATTAATCGACAATCGATTAATTGTCGATAAGAGATGTAATCGATTAAAGCTATCGATGGTCGATTAAGCAATTTCATTTTGGGGTGTGTGCGGCTCATGCGCAAAACACATGCAAGCTACTGTGACGGGCTGGATCTTTTGCGAAAATAATTCACTAATGTACAAATTATGCTTTTAATGTGATCCAGACTTTAAAAGTACATAATAGAAACAATAAAAAGTCCTTCAACATGGAAAACAATAGAAATGTAGTAACTAAGTCATCATCAAACTAAAATGAGGGAACAAATTAATAAGTCATAGGAGCGAATTCTTAACAGTGACAGATTTTTAAAAGTACACCTGTTCCATGCAGTTTCTCAGTTAATGTGCATTTGTAATAATTCTAAAATGTTGTTTAAAGTGGTTTTATATTATTATATGTGTGTGCCTTTGCAGACCTCACTCCACAGACAGCGCCACACACAGGAAGATGACCCTCTCTCTCGCTGACCGCTGCTCAAAGACACAGAAGATCCGAATTCTGCCCATGGCCGGCAGAGACCCAGAATCCCAGAGAAATGAGATGATAAAGGTAAAACACATGCACTATTTCACTCAGCAAAGAGATCTGAGTTTAGCCCAAGACTGATGGAAAATTCAGCAGGATTCAGATCAATGCAGAAATGCAGTGTGTTTCCAGAGGGAGGTTATATCATAACTTAAATCCTCCTTAATAAAAAAAACTCTTATTCCTGAAAACCTGGAAACTAGGTCATAAAGCTGTCCTGCTAGGGAGTTTAACCAAAATGCTTTGGAAATTAAAGGACAACATTACACATAGTGACTCATTTAATTTGACAAAATCACATCATAAACATCTGATGAGCTTATTGCAGCGTTTCCCAAACTGGGGTGCGCAGACTGACCACCAGGGGTGTGCGAAAGAATGATTTTGATGATCTGTGTGTAAACATGCAGGTCCATCCATCTCACTAAAAAAGGGTAGTATTCTTTTTTTTATTTATAACTGACATGTTGATGTTTTCTGATATACAGTCAGGGCTTGACATTAACACCTGCCAAATGCGGGTAGATTTCAGCAGTGGCGGGTAACATGTTCACTCCCACTTTGGCAGGTTGAATTTTATATACAGTAACAACTTGACATTAATGCTTGTCTGGGACTAGTGGATTTTTTGAAAGGAGCAAGTGAAAGAGAATTTTACTTGCCCGACCAGACAACTAATCTGATTAAAACATCTAATTAGGGAAGCACCGAAATTTCAGCGAGAATTTATTACATTTGGTGTAAACTGCAATTGATAATGGATAATGTATTGACATTAACAAGAAATCAAAACAAATGAACACAGCTGCACACAGAAGAAATACTGTGGTAAAAATGTAGTTTTTATATTTATAACATATAGCCTCGTTATGCAACATGACATGACTAAGAGAGTGCAGACACTGATTCTATAAAAGCGTTCAAACGAGTAGTTAATATTAAGTGACTTACATTTTAGTACAGTATTGTCAATGTTGGCTGTTTTTGCTCGATTTGGTTAACGGAAATAGTTCCAAACAAAGATAACAGCAGAACAGTTATAGCATCTCTGAGCAACACACAGTGGTGTTTACTTACTGAATGATTTGGCGTTTTTGAATTAATTATTTGAGTCAATGATTCAGTGGTCCATTCGTAAAGACAGGCACTTGCTTCATTCTTGAATGAATCATCTGTCTGAATGAATCGTTTGAATGAAAGCCTCAATGACTCACTCATTAAGACAGTCACTTGCTGCCACCTACTGGCGGTTAACTTTCATATTTAAAAGTAGCTTATCTTTGCATTTTTTCCAATTTTTCATATTTGTATATTTAAAAAAAAAAAAACTGGTTTAAAACCCCAAGCTCATAACATTATTTATGCTGTTGTAATTTTGCAGTGTAAATGCATTCATGCTACATTTCAGCTTCATTAAACTGTCTGTGTAAATGCATAAATGCCACTTCAGCTGCTTCTGTTTCTTCTGCAGTGGAAAGATCGGTTTTGTTAATACTGATTTCATTTGATTAGTAACAGCCCTGTAGTGTCTTATTAATATTAAGTGAAATTGTTAATAAAATGTAAGCATTTGATATGAAAGATGACACATGCATTTAATAAGGTTTGGGGAAAATGCCCTTTAAATAGGCAAAAAATGACCTGGAAATCAATTTAAATACATTTTAAAATGCAGTAACTTTAGGCATATGAAGCGCAATTTCCCAGCAACAAAATTGTGGCCAGTGAAAATGCAGAGTGGCTAGTAATTTTGGAAAATCGCTAGCCACAGTGGCTGGTGAGCAAAAAAAGTTAATGTCAAGCCCTGTATACAGTGAATATTTGTATTATTGCAGTTAAAAATGTGGTGTTTACCTGCAGTAAGGTGGTGGGGGTGCTTGACACATGTCAAACACTAAAAGGGGGTGCATGCTGCAAAAAGTTTGGGAACCACTGAGCTAGGTGACTGAGCTATAAGACTGCGGACACATAACAGACTTAGATCAGGCCATCTCAGCTCACAGCACGTTTCCTTACACACACACACACACACACACACACACACACACAGCAGATTTTGGCAGCAGCGGGTTATAAGTGTATGATTTGATCCGTGTTATCTTAACAGATTGTCCAACACCTAAAGTGGAGTACTGTAAATGTTTTTATCTATTTCCTCTCTCTCATTTATCTCCCTCTGACCAGAAGTCTAATGTCCAAAGAGCCAGATTTCATATCAGATGGACAACCATAAGTCAGTCCTAAAGATCCAGACACCATTAGACAGCCTTGCTGGAGTTAAAGTGGTGACAGTGCTCTGAGTAATTTCTCTTGTAAATGAAGAGCTATAAAAGTATTTCACAAGTTTTATTGAAAGTGGTTTTCACAGATAATAATCATGCATAAATAGCGTTTATGCCGTCTGGACCTGTTTATGACTTGGCTGGGCCTGAATTTACATTGTATATACACTACTATTCAAATGTTGGTGTCAGTAAGTTTATAATTATTTTATTCAACAAGAATGCATTGAACAGAGCAAAAATTACAGTAAACACTTTCGTTACACAAAATTTCTTTCTCAAATAAATGTTCATTTTAACTGTCTATTTATCAAAGAGTCTTGCAAATGTATTCGTTTTTCACAAAAAAAAAAAAATTAAGCCGCAAAACTGTCTTGAGCGGCAAATCAGCATATTAGAATGATTTATGAAGGATCATTAAAGACTGGAGTAATGATGCTGAAAATTCAGCTTTATCCTTCCCAGGAATAAATTGCTTTAAAATATATTAAAAATAGAAAAGTTTATATATATATATATATATATAATCTGTTCAAAGATCTGTTCAAAGCCAAACAGCACAGTAAGGTTTACAAGGCCTTGTAATTAAGAAATCCGTCTTTAGTTTTGCCCCACATGACCCCCTAAAGTCATGTTAATAAAATCAGCTTGTGATTATCTTGTGCCGACGTTTCGGGCATGGAGAGGACTGGAGCATTTAAAAAAAATATATATATAAAAAAAAATAATAAATAAAAATAAATATATATATATATATATATATATAATTTATTATTATTATTTTTTTAATCATTTCACAATATATCTGTTTAGTATCTGACAAACCCTGGCAATCTCTGTAAAATGATTGCATAAAAAAATCCTTATCTGGTTATCATGATTGACTGGAGAGATCATGGGAAAGTCATGGAAAATCACTGGTGAAAAGTGTGGGAACCCTGGATTAAAATGTAATATACAAAATTATTTATTAAATCCAATAAGGTTTAGTTCTTAAACCCTTTTTCATCACTCAGATAAAATGCATCTATTTTTATCTCCACATTGACTGATAAACTAGGATGTGGATGTGTTCATTCAGTGTAATCCTGCAGTGACATCAAAGTTTCTTTGTATGTGTGTTTGTCTGTGCAGAAAGAAGAGGAGCGGTTACGTGCATCTATCCGTCGTGAATCTCAGCAGAGGCGCATGAGAGAGAAACAGCATCAGCGAGGTCTGAATGCCGGGTACCTGGAGCCAGATCGCTATGACGAGGATGAGGAGGGTGAAGAATCCATCAGCCTGGCCGCCATCAAGAGCAAATATAAGGGTGGAGGTCTGAGGGGTAGGTGACATACAAAACACATGTACTCCCGGGGCGTTATGAATACATTGCCCCAAAGTTTTCAGATTGTATGTGTAGCAGATCAATGCAAAGACCACTTTACAAATCCCATTTAGCGTACCTTTTTCAAGTGTCCGTACATGAAATAACCCAGCTGGCCATATTTATTTTTATTATGGTTAAGTTCTGTGTATCATCTTAATGATGCACTTGAAGTGTACCACACTCAAACAGCGCTAAAATAACCTTGTTCGACTTGCTCTTAATACAATCCGTTATTGATATTGTAAGGGTGGACATGATTGATTGGCTTTTTGAGATAAATGTAATGTTACATGACATTGTTTACAAACTGTTATATTGATGTCTTTCTGTGATTGAAACATGGTGCATTTCAGTTGTAATGTTTCAGTTGTTCTTTCAACATCCCTTCTGATGTTTGTTCAGGTGCTAGAGCATTCCATCACGCCAATTAAATGGCGACAAAATTATGGTTATTGTTTGAATTTTGATAAAATTTAGAATTTGAAAGCTCAGACTTTTTCACATCAAAAGTCACAAAGCTTATTGCGATTATTGGACGGTAGGCATGATTAGGGTTGGGTACCGAAACCCAGTTCCAATATGGCACCGGTACCTATGTAACCGGTATGTACTAGAACCGAATCAGAACGCAGATTTCGGTGCCATGCCGGAGCGATCGATTGAAATATCTGTCCTCTGGTTCTCTGAAACGGACGTAAGAAGCATCATCACTCATTCATTCATACTGGACGCCAGAGGGTATCGAACCAAAACTTTCAAAAAGACATTATAAAAGTAAACCACCATGCTTGTTTGACGCATGAACCTCAGTGGTTTTTGAATTTCTGTTTGATCAATATTCATATGTGAATAAAAGCCTAAACTAAAATTGATCATGTATCTTTCACTGCACGTGAAAAATAATTTCCCGAAAAAATGCACGTGAACTCAAGTTGGAAAGCTCTAATAATACAAATCCAACAAATCTTTGTAGTAACGCGAGTGTCCATGTTGTTTTCACATTCCGACTTAAAAGCACAACTCGGGA